TAATTGGGTCAACTGTATTGAAATATGAAAACTTTTTTTTTTTTTTGCTTTCATTTTCTTTTTGTATTTAATTCTGAGAAAATTGTATATACTTTTTGACACTTGTACAATTCATGTAAAAATTGTTTATATATTTTTTTAAAGGATGCCCCAAAGATTTGTATTACAGCGACACCGTTTAGATTATTTTGATATAAATAAATTAAAATATTTAAAAGTTACGAGACAAAAGTAGAACGAGAGAAATTCTCTACAGTTGGAATATTTTAGAAGTGTAAGTTTGCAAACATTTTTGTACCTCAAGTCGTAAATAAATTGAATTTTGCACTGTAAATTTAATAATTAAGTTTGATGTTGTCGTATATGGAATTAAACTGTTATATTCCCTGCTTTTATTTTTTTTATGTTGAAAAACCGTGTTGTTAGCTACCGTATTTTTCGGAATATAAGACGCACCCTTATCTTGAAGATAAAGTTTTGGGTGAAAAAAAGCTACCGTCGCATTTCAAAGATTTTTATGGAACAAAAATTCAATTTGATACTTTAAAAATTAGTATATATTGTTCTAAACACAAAAGAGCTCAAAGCATCAAAATAAGAAAATACCGTAAATAAAAAAAAAAGTTTTACTGTTATTTAGTTTGGTTCAAAACCTACAAAATCTTCATTGCTTTCACTGTAATTTATTATTTAGGGAGCATTATAAATAGTTATGTTTTTGAAAGAAAAAAACTACTATTGTTATAAATAACACATTCAATTGAACTAAACTATGCATGCTTATTTAAATATATTTACACATTGCTTGTGTATATCGTATATATATACATATATATATTTTTCATACCTTCGGTGTATAGGACGCAAGCAGATTTTGACATCACATTTTGGGTAAAAAGTGCGTCTTATACACCAAAAAATACGGTAATCTAATCGATAAAGAAACCTGCATTCACTATTCTGTTATGCCGAAATTTAATCTAGTAAAAGCGTTAAATAGTACTTAACAGTCAGGTTCTACTTGTTTTCTTGGGAAGGACAATTTCCCTTCTTGCTACCCCATAACTGGCTTTCATGTGAGCTTTGTTTTAAACCAGCATTGGTTGTACTGAGACAAAGTTAGCTCGGCCAGCAAAGAATATCACAGTGTTAATCCTTTCATTGTGGGTGCTATATGTTGCTGCAACATCCTTTTGGGCAGAATAGACATTATCTACTATTGAGAACAAAAAACAAAGCAAGTAGAACAAGGTTCTATCAACGACTTTCTGGACTAAGTGTTCATGCTAAAACTCTCATAACTACTTAAAGATCGCAAACCAAATCCATGCACGTAAAAGTCTACTGAAGCGGAGAATACGTCAGATATAACAACTGATTATATACATAGAGGAATACAAGGCATTGGAATTTACTTGTTTTTGTACGAGCGTGATATTATCTAAGATAATTCTATTTCCTACTTTCTGGTTTCGTTTCCCACCTTCTGGGGGCCAGGAGGTTAGGGCGCTCGACTCGCAATCTAAGGGTCGCGGGTTCGAATCCCCGTCACACCAAACATGCTCGCCCTTTCAGCGGTGTGGGCGTTATAAAGTGACGGTCAATCCCACTATTCGTTGGTAAAAGAGTAGCCTAAGAGTTGGCGGTGGGTGGTGATGACTAGCTGCCTTCCCTCTTGTCTTACACTGCCAAGTTTACAGACGGCTAGTGCAGATACACGTTGCTTTCGGTCTATATAGTCAATATCGATTAATTCAAATTACTAAATTATTATAATGGATGTCTCTTCTTCCATATAATATATATTGAAAACTTGGTTAGTGTTCCACAGCTAACTTTGAAAAAGTTAATATTATTCAATCATTGTAAAAATTAAAAATTACTGTAACTGGTGTTATAAAACTAGCTTTGAAAATAATGTTGCGTCATCGAGCACACGTGACTGGTGTGGCGCCCTCTAGTTTCTAGAACTATCTTGTTCCTTCATGAATGCTCTAGTATTTACTAGATAGGGTAGGCTGGTATATAAAAGAGAAGAATGTAATGTGTGTGTAGACAGTGAGTAATTGATCTGCAGTCAGAAGTATTATTGAGCACGTTCGTTGTTATAGCGTTTGTTTAGCGCGATTGTTGAAGTTGAGTGTATCGGTAAAGTTATATTCGAAAAGAATAAACTAGTTTTATTAAGAAAGGAGTTGTGTCGCTTAAGTTTCGTCGGAACGAAGTTACGGAAAGTTAATTAACAAACGGAGATGTAACAAATTGGTGTCAGAAGTGGGATGAAAAAAAAATTGAAACGAGAGGCGGAAAATTAAACTACAACTTAGCAGACTTGATGGCAGCAATACAAGAGCAGCAAAAGAAACAAGAAGAACGAGAAAAGAAACAAGAAGAACGAGAAATTAAACAAGAAGAGAGATTACAGCAGTTGTTAGAGGAAAAAGAAAAGAAACAAGAAGAACGAGAAATTAAACAAGAAGAGAGATTACAGCAGTTGTTGGAGGAAAAAGAAAAGAAACAAGAAGAGAAATTACAGCAGTTGTTAGAGGAAAAAGAAAAGAAACAAGAAGAAAGATTACAGCAGTGGCAAGAAAATCTACAACAATGGCAGCTCGAACAGCAAAATAAACAAGAGAGATTACAACAGTTGTTGGAGGAGAAAGAAAATAAACAAGAAGAACGAGAAAAGAAACAAGAAGAGAGACTACAGCAGTGGAAACTGGAACAAGAAAGGAAACAAGAAGTACAAATGGAAAACATTAGTAAATTTAAAAGTAAATTAGATACGTTAAAGGACGATCTATTGTCTTTAACACAAGGAGGATACATTGATCATCGACTTAATCAGCCCCAGACAATGGCAAGCCCCTTACAGGTGGGATGTGACTTCTAACAGGACTGAATATGTCTGCATTAGGGTTTAGCTGCGGGCTTCGAATTCCTGGGGCTTCCTTCGCACTGGATCACTCCTATTACTGACATTCATATAGATATACAGCTTTCTGCTCCTCTGTCCATCCATTCATCTCTGCCAGTAGCTCAAACTGTGCTCTATATGCTTCCCACGGTGCCTTCCCAGGCAACAAGCTTGAAGGGACAACCACTGGAAATACTTGGACAGTTGACAGCAGCTGACAGACACAAGTATAGAGCACTGGTAGAGGCTCCGGAACTCAGGTACGGAACCCAGAATCAGTCAGAAGTCTACAGGGCCAGGTTCAGGACGAGAGTCCGTGCTAAAGGGGAGAGCCTGCAAGAGCTGGCACAGGACTTGGAGAGCATGACACACAAGGCCTACCCAACTGCGCTACCCGATCTCTTCAAGTTGTTGCTGAGGGATCCATTTGTAGACGCCTTGGACAGTCCACAACTGAAGATACAAGTGAAGCAAGCACACTCCTCTACCATGCAGGATGCAATGGCCAGAGCTATCGAATTTGAATCCTATGTTAAGTCCAGCACAGAGGTACCGAATTTGGTACAGTCATCTGGATTCAAGGCCAGAAAAGGTCAGCTTTCAGAGAAGTTTGAGGGACTTTGCTGGCACTGTAACAAACCTGGGCACAAGAGAGCTCAATGCTGGCAACTTCAACACAGGGGAGACGATACAGCAGTAAAGGCTGCTACCAAGAAAGGCTGTTGGAACTGTGGGAAGCACGGCCATTTGAGGAGCCAGTGTAGGAGGAATATTACCAACAAGTCGGCCTCAAGGAGACCAGTAGTGGTTGGTGTTGAGCGACGCCCATCAACCCCCATCTTGAAAGTCCCAACAGCTAGGTGTAAAATGCCAAGCACACACAGTGTCTATGTGACAGGAAAGAAAGATGGCCAAAGGTGCAACTTTGTCATAGACTCTGCATCTCAGCAAACCCTTGTGAGCATCAAGGTGTTAGATCACGAAGGAGTACCTGAAGCCACGCAGAAGCTTTATGGTGTGACAGGACATTCTACAAGTTTGTGGGGACCAGTGTGGGTAGCTATTGAGCCCATGGGCACAAAGGAGAAACAGAAAGTATACTTGG